TTTTTTTTTTTTTTTTTTTTTTGTGAATTAATGAAATGCAAGCCATTTCATTTCTACAAGCAAAAAATCCCACGGAGCAGCAGACTTTTCCATTACTAAATGAAGCTGTGAATATTTCAGCATGATATTATAACTCTATTTACAGTTTGCTTTATTATATAATTTAGTTATGTTTGCAGTCTTCTGGATGATACATAATGAATTAAGTGGATTGATGTACTTAAATAAAAAGTTTCTATTTCTCTTACCTGTAGAAGTATAAAGTATGCTCTAAGATCATCTTTTGTTCGGGGCCTGAGAACAAACAATCATACCCAGAATCACGTATACAATATACAGACATACAGTAACAGTTAGAACGTGTCTTGCCTCTCAGGCTTTTTTACTTCCCCAGGAATACCACATCTGTTGATCCACTACTCAGGCAGTTAGTCACCTTCTCTGATTGTTCAGAAGCAGCAAGAGCATCATAAGCCCTTGGGTAGAGATGCTCACCAACCTGATTTGCCAGAAATGTTCTTCTGAAGTAGTTATACTCACAATGCATGGTGCTAAGGAAAATGTAAATAGGAGACATTCTTCTACCTGGATCTACGATCCTGAAGAGCCCTCTAAATGTATACCAGGATGATTGCATTTAGTTTTAAAAGAGAATACATCATTCTGAATCTTCTAACTTCTACATTAAGGACAAATATTAAGAACTTGACCTTTTACACTGTTCTTTCCTTCCCAGAAGAATCTTAAAAGATGTGCATGTAAGAGTTCTTAAATCATGACCTTTTTTAAAAAAAGGTGTTTCCAAAGGGCATTTTTCTCTGTTAAAATGTCCAAGTGTTACAGCTTCTTTGCTTTATGATAAGCTTTCCAAAAGCAGAAAGGTATTCATTTCCTAACAGACTGAGTCAATGGTGGCCAATAAAAGTGCCATATGGAAGAAAAGCAGAGGTGGTTAGCCTTGTTAGTATGAAGCCAGTCTGAAGTTACAGCAGGATGATAACTTCAGCCCCTAGTACATGCTCACTTAATAGCACAATAGGGCCTGATCTCCAATCCCAACAATTACATCTCCTGTCATGCCACACATGCAAGGCAGGACACACAATTTTGGGATTCAGGAATCAGATGCCAATTGTGCCATTACTACTTGCTAGCGCAGGGGGAGCCTGAGATTATGACTGCAGGGTCCCCCTGCACTAGTAAATTGAAAGTTCGGTGCCCACAGGCCAGCATGAACTGTGTGGGCCTAAAGCTGAGATGGACTATCAACTAATGGTCAGTCCCAGCCCTGGGACAGAACCAGAGCAGGTTTGAGACCCCAGGTCAGTCCCAACTCTGGGACTGCACATCAGGCAATTGTCAGTCTCAGCCCCACGACTCCATCGGAGCCAGTTCGAGCATCATATGACCAGTAGCCTGCTGGCACAGGGGAACTGTCAACCAAGCCCCAACATGCAGGCTGCATGGCAGGGACCTTTCCACATGTTCAATTTAAAGTATGATAGAAACTAGCCACATTAATATAACACATTTTGTGTAAATATTTTTGTGGCTAGTTTCCGCTTTTGTTGTGGCATTAACTGCCTGAACATGTGGCTGGGTTACTATTTAAGATGTAATTAACTGCTTAATTGCATCTTAAGTGTAACATGTGCTAGGGGCCTTAATGTATTTATATACATGCTGGGGGGGGCAGGGAAAGAGGGAGAGGGGGCGCTTTAATTAGAGTGGCTCTGAGAGCTGCTCTAATTAAAGTGCCTGGAGCATCTGGTGTATCAGGATCCCCACACTGAAAAATGGTGACAGGGGAGCTTTAACTAAAGCTCAGATGAGTTTTAGTTAAAGTGCCCCTGCTGCTATTTTTCAGCACAGGGACGCTGATACATATGATGCTGGAGTATGGTAATTACCAACAGGCTGTAATTACAGCACGTTGGAGCAACCTCACTGCACATTTATAAGTACCCTTAGAGACTAACTGGTTCAGTGGCATGAGCTTTAATAGGCAACAATCTACTTTGTCAAATTATAAGAAAGGAATGGCAGAAATATAAACTTTGTAGAAGGGAAAGGGACAAAGGGAGAGAATGCTGCTAAGAGAGATAATTGGGGAGAGTACAGCAGATCAAATGAGACAAATGGAGAAGTTAACACATGAAGGGACACCAAAGCAAATCCAGGTAATAGGATAAGAATCCATAGTGCCTGCTGAGATCAAAGTTAATACATTCCAGTCTGAATGACTTCTTGTTCTGCAGTTTTCTTTTCTGGGTTAAAGGATCCCTACTCTGAGGTTAATGATAGAAGGACTGGGGAAGTTCATGTTCTGCCATGTGTTTTTGTGCATTTCTGGAACTGATGTTCTCTTTCTTTTGGGACTTCAACAAAAGTTTATGATCTGTTGGTCCCAATGGGTGTCTATACACGTGCCGAGAGGCTGCTCCAATGCATTGTAATTATTACAATGCATCAGAGGAGACTTGATTGGTAATTACTGTGCTCCAGCAGACTCCAGCTCCATGTACATCTGTGTCCTCATGCTGAAAAATGGCATTTTAACTAAAGCTGGTTCAACAATTTTTTACCTAATTTGACTTTACTGCTCCTTAAAGGAAACATTTCATAAGGAAGTCTATGTGCTAGTTTTTCCTGTATATTTTGGACAGATAGATGATGATTTTTAAATGATTTCAGTGTGAGAACAGCCCTTTTTGGAGCCAGTTATAAATGCTCAAGTAGTAGATTCAGATATAGTTCTTGTTTTAATTTACTGCTGTCTGCTGAGCCACTTTGGTGGGAGTAAAGAACTTGTTTATTCTTCCCTCTCCTCTGTATCCAACAAAAGAGGGAGGAATGACCAAGAATAGAGTGGGAAAGAGGATTCTGTACATGGAACCACAGAAATTTACCAATACATCCATCCCTTTAAGCCTCTGACATGAGGGCTACTTTGGAAGAACTGCAATTTACCTTATGGAAGGGCAATTGAAGAAAGCAGATTAAAAAAAGCAAGATTTCCCTGATGGGAAAAGGATTGTGGGGTCAGTGAAAAGGTGTTTCTGAGCTGCATGTGTAACTCATAATCAAAGGGAGAAATACATAGCACAGCATTGGTGAAGAGACCTTGAACAAGCGATGGCTCCAGTTACATCTGAACAGTCAATGAGGGGGGATTTGTCCAAGCTGGAGATGAGCAGAAATGCCTTCCAAATGAGAAATATCTATAAATCAAATAATTTCTAACACAGAATTTTACTTCTCAAATATAAAACATTTTAGGTCTTTGTCATGTATGAGATGCACAATATGCTGTTCTGAATAAACCCTTTCCATACAAATGTGAACACTAGTCATAATTACCCCTTCCACTCCTGTAGCAAACCATTAATTATTCCCTTTAGGACTGATTTCTGAACATCTTGAGGCTAGGGAAAAAAAAAGGAGGAAAAAAGAAAAAAAAAAAACACACACAACAGCATTGTTAGAGACTTTTTTTTTTTTTTTTTTTTTTTTTT